AACGCATCTTTTGTTCTTAATGCACTATTTTGATCAAAACCTTGTAATAAGTTGTTAGTTAAATTTTATGAGCACAACCATCTAATAAATTGGTTGTTAAATTTAATTGTTTTAAATAAAGTTACTCCTAACCATCATAATTAAACAATGTTTATAAAAACCTTTGCATTTTTGATCTCATTTCATTTGGTTTACATTAAAATAAGTTTTAATTAATATAACGACAAAATTACATGTTCTTAGTTTGAAATAAACTACAAAAAATATGAGTGTCCTGTTCTGATGCTACCCGACATTACAAAATGGTATTCGATTTGTAAATTAAAAAAAAATCGATTTCTAAATAAATATCGATTAACGGTCACTAATCACCACAAATTACAAAATGGTGTAATTTTACGAGCCAAACTAAGAAATAAATTGTTAATTAAATTTTATGAGCAAAACCGTATAATAAATTGTTCCAATTTTAGTATATGTACCGCCGAAGCGAGTACAAGAAATTGTTAGTAAAATTCATTATATCAAAAAATCGTATTCCGCTGTTTTGATTAATTTTCTACCAAACCATTAAAATTAATTTTTTAAATAAAAACTAATTAATTTTTAATCACAGTTAATTTGGTTTATATTAATCGACTGTACTCGATGCGACCCGACGAAAATCTGGAGAGCAGAGCGTCGGATAGGTTAGCGTGGGTAATGCAACTTTATGGAAAATCGGAGTTTGGATTTGCGTCGGGTAGCATCGGGTAGATGTGCACGGGGGTAATGCAACCTTATGGAAAATCGGAGTTTGGATTTGCGTCGGGTAGCATCGGGTAAGTGTGTTTCAGGCTTTAGCCAAAGGTCGTGGGTTCGAATCCCGCGCGTGACACTGACTTTTTTATCTCAACCGATACCTTACATAAAGATTAATTAATTGAAAAATTATTTAATAGGTTACTTAGACACAGACTGTGGAATTAAAGTGTATTGAAACTTTTTTCAACTTTACATTTTTTCTGTTTTGAAGTATTTTTTATTATTATTAATTAATTATTATTAATTGAAAGATGTTATTTGCCCAATTGGACCACATAATCTAATGAATCTATTAAATAATAAAATGCCTACCATTCTTCACATCCGTATAGAACGACAGGATCTTCTTTACCTCAGGTCAATTTTTCACGAAGTACAATTTCCGGGCTAAGCTTAAATAACGGTTTGTTTGTTCAACTTTGGCCATAAAAAAATTAAAGAAAGTGTTAAAGAGAAACAACAGTCCAGTTTTAACGATGTTTTGAAACTTCTGACTAATCAAAACCTTTACCGAGAGAAGACATAAAAATAGAATCATCCTATTTTATGTTTTTCACATTCTTTATAATAAAGTATTTCAAATTCTATCCTGTCACATAGGTGTAAACCGGGATAAATTAAGATAACAGGTTTTTGCTAGAACATAAAAAAAATAATAATATAAATCCCGCTCTAATCCGTATTCGTTTTGGGAGAAACCCTAATGATGCCCTAAAACCGAAAATGCATTGTTGTACTTATCCGGTGGTGAAGGGTTGTAACGGCCCATACAAGGTAACATTAATACCGTCCCTAAAGGGTTTACGACCCTAAAAACCTTTATCCACTCAGGGTCATCTGGTTCAAGGATAAACGCCAACCCTAGGCAGTTGTGTTCGTTTCTACAAACATGGATCATCTTGTAGAAAACAAATGGTGAATCGGTTTAACGAGCAATTTTGGATATCCGTTATATCTTATTGCCGCATTAAATTTTTTTATGTGTTTATGCCAGGCATAACGGTTTAACAGTTTGTCAACCTCAAAGATGTGCGTCGGGTGTTCAATTTGTATGCGTTTGTGATGGCGTTTTGCAATTATTTATTTTATATTATATATTTCTATATCTATATTCTATATTCTATCTATATTTTTATAATTTATATTTATCGTTTGAGTGGCAAGGTGAAATTTATTAGTGGGTAACTTATATTTATAAGTGTGTGGTGATTAGTGACCCTTAATCGATAATTATTCAGAAATCGTGAGATGGTGTCTGGTATGATCTAGGTTTCAGAAAAACATTTTCTTTATCGTGCCAACGTTTCGATCTTTATTGAGATCATCTTCAGGACTCAAAGTGTTTGTCTTCTGTGTAATTGTGCCATTCTTGCGTATCGTGTTGACTGTTGTTGACTCTCAACAAGACACGCAAGAATGGCACAATTACACAGAAGACAAACACTTTGAACCCTGAAGATGATCTCAATAAAGATCGAAACGTTGGCACGATAAAGAAAATGTTTTTCTGAAACCTACATCTCTAGTGCAGCATGTTTAGTAGTTTTTTTTTAATTTATTACATTGTATCTTTTTTAAATCAGTAAATTGTCTTAGATTTTATTTTCCGTATTAGAAGTATCGAACACTTTTTCACTTTGGAACACTGGATCAAGGTATGGTCTTGAAAAAGAAAGCAAATTTGGTTGCTAATGCCAAACTTTCGACCTATTTTAAGGTCATCAAGGGCCTATATTAAAAATCCTAGATTCAAAGTGTTCATAAGTGAAAAATGATTTGATTATTCAGTTTATTTTGCATTATATCTTCAAACAACTATGTCATGGATAACTTTAAACGTGAACATTATAATACAAATGTGGGAAAAAAGCGAGATTCTTTTGTTTGATAATAATTATCAATCAGTAATAATAGTGTAGAAAGTTCAGTGGCCGCCAAAGAGTGGAGATATTCGCCGGCCCTCGGTTGTGCTTTTACTTCTTCTTCCGGTGCTTGACGCATACTTTCTACCTGTATTTGAGCGTTGACTATTTGAGCTGATTAATAACGGGTAGGAAGTGCTTAATTTTAAGTTTAAATTCTTTTATGTCTCCTCATGCTTTTTTTTTGTATTTTGATTAATTTCCTAATTCTTTTTAGACACTCTAATCTTGCTGTTGTTTTATTCAGCTTCCTCCTCAAAATTATCCATTGATTGTATATGTATCTAAACTGACTGTTAAATTGAAATTCTGCAAGGATTTCAAAATTTGAATATTCATATCTGAAAATTATTTTTTAGTGGAGATTCGATACTAAAAGTACTTGGTATCGAAATATTTTATTCGATACTTTATCGCACGTGATGATTCGATCGAGAAATGGATCATTTTGGTGGCCCAACACAAGAGAAGTGCAAATTTCAATGAGTCGATTTCTTTGGGCTTCGGTTAGTCTTTTCGGTGCCTACTTTCGAGCTTCTTTACTTTACCAATTTACCCCGGATGGCGAACAACGGTTGAGTGGTCAACTCTAAGCCCTTCCGCAATGCTTTTTGCCTTACGTGAATTTTTTTCATTCAACGTTTTGAGTTGGTCGTCGTCCTACCGCGACCTTCCCTGTCTTCGACATCAAAATCTCCAAGATGAAATCTCTGAAACCTCGCTGCACCGTGCGTGCAATCGCTTCCCGCCCAAACTGTATTGATGTTAAGTTAAGTCATATTTATTTTCGCAGGACCTCACTCTTGTAAAATTCAATATAAACTGTATACAAGGTATTTGTTGAGTTGAAAAAACGTTAATGGCACGAGAGGGATTCGAACCCACGACCTTCGTCATAAGGTGGGATTGAGATGGGGAGTTGATGTCCGAGTGGATCGAGGTCACGATAGCTCAGGTGGTAAAGCAGCGGCGTATCTAGCCGAAGGTCGTGGGTTCGAATCCCTCTCGTGCCATTAACTTTTTTTCATGTCAACTAAAAACCTTAATTAATTGTAAAGTATTAATTGGTCAAGCGGACCACGAAATTAGTGAATTTAATAAACTAAAATCTTTATACAAGGTATTTGTTGAGATAAAAAAGTCAGTGTCACGAGCGGGATTCGAACCCACAACCCTCGGCTAAATACGCCGTTGCTCTACCACTTGAGCAATCATGACTTCGATCCACTCGGACACTAACTTCCCATCTCAACCCCACCTTTCGAATTTTCCCTCCATTTTGCAATTTTTATCTCAACAAATATCTTATATAAAGATTAATTAACTGAAAAACGTTATTCGGCCAATAGGACCGCGAACTCTAATAAATTTAATAAACTAAAATGTTTTGAAAAAAAGATAAGTGTGTGTTGATTAGTGACCGTTAGTCGATAATTATTCAGAAATCGTGAGATGTGGTCTGGTGTAATGTAGGTTTCGGAAAAACATTTTCTTTATCGTTTCAACGTTTCGATCTTTATTGAGATCATCTTCTCAAGAATAATGATCTCAATAAAGATCAAAACTTATTCAATTCAAGCCGAAGATCGTTGGTTCGAATCCCGCTCATGCCATTGACTTTTTTATCTCAACTGAAAACCTTAATTATTTGTGTAAAGATCAAAACGTTGGCACTATAAAAAAAATGTTTTTCCGAAACCTACATCACACCAGAACACATCTCATGATTTCTGAATAATAAAAGATAACAGTGAAAAGTATTTATTGTAATCCATAAATTAGACTTGAGGATGTAAGTTTGTTGTAAGTTGTACATGACAAGTACCCGTGAATTTTTTTTTTTTCAAAACCTGCATTAATTTTGCACCAACCCGATATCTACGGTCAAATAGACATGAAAGGAACGTTCATTTGAGTTGTTACTTTGGTTGAGCAAATAGAACTTTTCGATGTAATAACGAGGATAGTTGAACAGCCACGTGACTATTGATTAACTAAACCTGCGGACAAATTCCAGTCCATACTATCTGGAATATTTCGGCAAGGCTAAAGAGGCAGTTCGGTGCGCAAACGTGCCGAGTTCATTGTCTGCACCGTAAACAGGAAGGCTTTTACCGTGCCCAATTCTGGGGTAGTGGGACTTGAAAAGAGGGTGAAAAGTGTATTCCCTCCCCTCAACACATTTCTAGGAGGGGGTCGCCAATGTGTTTAGAGGGGGTTAAGGCGGGGTCTTCACGAAATCTGGTAGGGGCTACGGTCAGTCTTTAGCCGACGTCGTACGTTTACACGTCCCGGAGGCTCTTCGATAATGTGAACACGACAAACTCAGCAAATCACTTACGAACACGATTTTTTTTTTCTGTTGAACATTTTCCCGTTTGATTTTCTTTTATTCGTTTCACTTCCCGGACAATTTTCCTCACGTGGTACTGTCGACTTCAAAGTGTTGTGTTTGTGATTGTGCCCTCTACAGAAAACTTGTCCGCCTTTTCTCTTTACTTCTTGGTAAGTTGAACCCGTGAATTACTTTTTTCTCCTAATTTTCAATTTAAGATTAGACTTTGAATCGCCTACTTCAGAAAAAACATTCGCTAAATTATAAACCCAGTTTTGTTTTGAACGAAAAGCGATTTAAATAGCAGCAAATTAATTAAAGGTTAAAAACATAAGAATCAGATTATATTGATATATTTGGTTTATATTTCAATATTATTAGAAATAAAATAATAAAGAATACGTCGAATTCCTTTATGATATTTATTTATAGCATATTTTTTTATGGCAAATCAATATTAATTTAGTAATAAACTAAGTAAGCACGATTGAAATTTCCCTCCACAATAACTACTACTCAACACTAAACTTCAATTTTATAGTACTTTTTATTTAAAAGAAACAACGTTCAGTTTTTGAGTAATACTGTACGAAAATATTTTTGATTTTTAACTTTACTAGGATTAACCCTTTTTTAACAGCTTGTTTACGAAATAATTATTACGTGTTTTAGAAAAAAAAGGTTAAAAGTTTAACAACTATTTAATAATTAGAATCATACGCTTGTGTCGTTTCAACAGGCTGTCGCTTTGATTAAATTGACAATTAAAAATTGAACTTAAAATTTAAGAAAAAGTTCGGAAATAGCTCAGAGTCCCGGTGACCTTATTTTCCTCCCCGTCCCGTTTAACCACCCCCCCTAAAGAGGGTCGGTTCGTGAATTCGAAAGGCGGAAAAACCGTTTCGCCGTCGTGGATCGGATGAAAGTAAATTGTTATTGATTGCTTGGGGTCGTTGGCTGACCTTGGGGGTGGAAACTACCCCACTCTGATACCTGTTGCCACCCTCGTGTATCGACCGATTTCGCCGCGTGTTCCCAGCCTCCGTGGATGCCGCCCCCCGGCCTTGAAAACGGCAAATTGAAATCGCATCTTCAAAACCGGTTTTTTTTAAGGAAGAAATTTTTTTTTTCATAACACCCCTCGAGTAATCAAAACAAACATGTTTTCGTGATTTTCAACCTAGGGTACACCACTGCTAAAGATCGACTAGGTTATGCTGATAAGAGATTCGTATCAAAATCACCCTAATGCACTCCGATTTAAATCTCAAACTGATAATCGCCCTCCTCGTCTAATCTCATTCTTATTCGACCTTTCTAGTGTATTTTCTTCTTTTTTCTAATACGCAAATGCACGTAAACTGCCGATTATTGTTTAACGTAAGCGATCCATTTGAATAAATTTGAATGGGTTCCAATAATCCGAGTAAATTACGACTTGCGTGAAACACAAGAAAGTGCGGGTGATCAAAACACAAAAAACATTTCCCGAAAAACAAGATTTACAACGTCCTGTTTGAAACTAACGTTAATCAATTATCTTACCAAATCGCGTCATTAGCTGTAATTACACTAAAACTATTTTGGGGATGTAAAGAAAGTACAGAAACTATTAGTTTATTACGACGAATCGCACTTAAATCAATCGGGATTATATTACCAAAACTGAAAAAAAAAACAGTTTATATATATATATTTTTTTAAATTTAAGATCGACGAGTGAAAGAAAATCAGGCTGGTCAACTGAATGAGAAAATAGCCACTTTAGCCTACTTTCTGACACATATTTTCTCCATTCGCAGTGCTTAGTAACTCTTATCTACTATAATTTAACATGTAGATTTGATCTTTACTCCACTTGTGTCTAAATAAAAAATATTCTTTAAAGTATACTAACAAAGGTGGTCATTCTTTCGTGGGTTTGTGTCTCTCCACGTGTAAAAAAAACCAAACAAAAATCGTATCAATAAAAAGTTTAAAACACCAAAGACCTGACACCTGCTACATTTAAACTTTTTATTGGTACGATTTTTGTTAGGTTTTTTTTACGAGTGGAGAGACATAAACCCATACGAAAGAATGATTACCTTTGTTAGTATACTTTAAAGAATGTTTTGCATTTAGACTCAACTGTAGTAAAGATCAAATCTACATGTTAAATTGTAATAGTAGATAAGAATTACTAAGCACTGAGTTGGTTGAAAATATATATCCGAAAGCTCGGCAAAAGTGATCATTGCCTCATTCAGTTGACCAGTACCCGATTTTCTTCTAATCTTATAATACAGATTAAATAATTATATCATATAATTCGAATAGATTTTTCATATTTCCAGCTCTAGAGCATCAAAAGACCACACAAAAAAAATTAAAACTGCTCTTCGTAAATAAAATGTACAAGTTCAAAGCTCAAACCGCGACAATATAAATCGTTACGTGCAATTTTTGTACCCTAGTCAGCGTTTTTTATTATTGATTATTCGTCGAATTAAATATCGTATTACACCGCGTTGTTTTCCTGACGAAGTGGGTTTGTTGAGAACAGGGCAAATGCGTCTGACAAAAGGCGAGAATAGGACCTAATTCGCAGTAATGCACCTACCTGTTACCGAGGTTATTACGAAACTTCAAGTTTTATTTTTCCCAAATTACAAGTTTATTTGGAACAAAAATAAATTTAGGAGGTTGTATGAAGGTAGATACGGAGAATATAATAGACGGTTTTTGTTAGCCACACCTTCAAAGCTGATTTTGTTTTAATCATTCGATTTTTTCTTCTTAATAATTACAGTTTTTCAAATATTGTTAGTTGGCGTTGGTAATTTGCAAGTTTATTTTTGGAATAACGGCTTAATTGTTTAATGAGTTCAAGTTTACCATTACTTGAATTGAAATTTGAGATTTAACTCTTGCCCAGTTTAGTTCCAAGCGGAAAGTTTTGTTTTCGCTCTGAACACAGGCTTCATAATGTCGTCAGGTATGTTCGAGGCTCATTAAAAAGAATGATACCTGATAAGCCGAGGTACGTGTTTTCGGCAACTGGTGGCCGAGTGAAAGTTTGAGAGTTGTGGAATTTAAGCTTCCGTTATACGAGTTTAAGTGTACGACGATTTTAGGATGTTCCGATATGAGATGGAACGCCTTGTCTTTCAAGGTATACATTTCAACTTATTTCTTAATTTTATATCTTTCTCCGTTGCTAAAAGGTTAAGAACCACAAGAAGAATTAGAATCGGAAAAATAAACCATCGAATCTGACGTCCTTCCCTAAAAGGTCAGAGGATTTGTTCGACATCACGTAAAGGATTATAAAAATAGACGGATCTTTGGCCCAGGACATTTGTCCGAGGGATGACGACACTCGTGAAGAGGGTGGCAGTGTTTTCGAAAGGGGTGACAGGGTCACGCGTGTGACCTTGACCCCCGCACAAGTTCAACGCAGGTCGTGGATAAGATCGATTTAGAAAAAGGGCGGACTGGGTTGTCAAGGGTCAGGGGCTAAACCACTAAGGGAAGATCTTTTATAACAGTTATAACACATCTAATTTATTATTATCAACATTGTATTTAAAATGTTATCATGGTATATAATTTTTTATATTAATTTTGATTTTTAAGCTATTTTATTTAACGCAGTTTGTCTTAATTTATACACGTTTATTTCCGTGTCTTATATTAAAAATGACTAATAGACCACCAGTCAAAAAGAAAGACGAAAATAGGCAGATCCGCACTGAAGATGGCGAGACGGCCTAAACACGTCTGACCAAAATAACCAAAAATTCATCACCTTGTTCTTTTATTTGTTTTTGCTTTAAAAATAAGAAATGCAACCATATTTGAGAATTGAAAATATACGAAAGGTCGTATTTCTGGCAAGTTCAAAAATTGATTATAACTGTTGTTAATTGTGACTTTGGGGTCGGCCGGTTGCACTTGTTCCAGCGGTGTCAGGACTGCTCTAAGGAGGAAAACTAGCCCTGGAAACCAGTCTGAAATAACACTGGAAATTAATCGCCCGTTCTGCGACCGAGTGCCACCTCCTTCCATCGCGTTATCGAGTCAGATTCTTCGTCCTTTGTCTTTGACGAGTTCGCCGATGGTTTATGGCCTGTTCGTGAGCGGAGAGCCCTGGTCCCGGACAGTTATCGGCTCGCGTCCGGATCCAACGACGTTTGTTCCCACGTGTCGGCGGGTTTTTGTGCTTCGAAGGGGCCTTTCTCCCGTTTTTTTTCGTTTTTTTTTTGGCAGGAAAGCCCCTGAAACACACTTTCGGAAGCCGATTCTCTAATTTGCCGCCTCTTACTTCTTTCTAAAAGGTCGGATCAAGGGTCAAATGCTCTATCGAAGCTTAAAGTTTAACGTTCATTGTGATAAAACGACAGCGGAGAAAAAAGGCGAGTGAAAGTATTCATTAGCGTAATCCACAGTATTGAGTAGTATATTGTATTCTATTGATGACAGAAAACCCATTTTTTTTTGTCGAAGAAGAAATTGAGAAACCGTCAGTTATAAAAAAAAAGAATAATTATTTGGGGATCGTGAGATGCGGTCTGGTGTGACGTACGTAGAAAAACATTTTCTTTATCGTGCCAACGTTTCGATCTTTATTGAGATCATCTTCAGGGCTCAAAGTGTTTGTTTTCCGTGTAGATGTGTCGTTCTGTGGTTGACTGACAACACGACAGACAAGAATGTCACATCTACACGGAAAACAACCACTTTGAGCCCTGAAGATGATCTCAATAAAGATCGAAACGTTGGCACGATAAAGAAAATGTTTTTCTAAAACCTACGTCACACCAGACTGCATCTCACGATCCCCAAATAATCATTGGTTAACGGTTACTAAACACTACTCAGAAAAAGAGAATATTCGTCATCATGGGCAATCAGATTGATTGCCTTGTATACCTAAAAAAATTATTATTATTACTTCTATTATGTTACTCGTGTTTATAATTTGTATGCACATTATTTCCCAATGTCTATATGGTTGCTGAACTTAATTTTTCAAAATGGAAATATGTAGGAAATTTCGTCGATATCGCTAAATTCGCTGTTTAGCAGACGTGTTTCGGGATTTGGCCGTTTATAATATTTGAGCTTTTGATGTTGTTGACGTTTGTCTGAAGATATACAAGCGCCGAAACGCAGACAGACCAGGGCA